GAGACATGCGCGGGCGACCCCTCCGTCGGGGGGTGCACCCGAGGCCTCCCCTCGCACCGAGTGGATGGCAGGAGTGCGCCGGCGACCATGTCCGAGGGCACCGGCGCCCCCCGAACCTCGAGACCACCGGGCCAGCCACGCCCAAGGGCAAATGCGGCAAGGGGGGTCCAGATGGACCCGGAGATCCAACGCATTGAAAAAGTCAAGACGGAGGTTTTTCATAGTTTTTGGCCTCGAGGGGCCCTCGCTGGGCCCCAGGACCGTCAAGAAGCAGCTCAGGATGAAAAAGCGGTCCCGGGGAATGGGTCGAGACTTCCAGGAGCCCCGCATCGAAAAAATCACGACATCGGATCTCTGGGGAGCGGAGGACTCCTCCGGCGAGGTTTTTTTTTGCTGTAAGTACTTTTTTGCGAAGCAGTTTTTTTTTGTCCGTAGGTCGGTTGGAACCATTTCTGTTCCCTATCCATGGCGCTACTTTGGGTTTTCTCGGCTGTAGACAGCTGCAGAGGGACATGCCTTTCGTAACGGGGTAGGGCGCTCTGGCCCTTCACCCCAACGGCTCGCCGAGGGGGGCTTGTTCCCCTCCCCAGAGGGGGGGGGGCTGGGTGCCGAGGGGAACGGTCAGAAGGGTGGGCTGTTGCCCGTGCTCAGCTGTGGCTGGCCGAGATGCCCGAGCGGACACCCTGATATCGAGTCGGACACGTCCCTCTACAGGAGGACTATTCAAGAATAGTCAGAACATCGTCGGCGGACGATTTTGCGTGCTCTTTCGGCTATTCATGAACATGTGTTGACTATTGTTCATTTTTCTTCAAGATCCGCCTGACATGCCCGACCTAGCCCTGATACCGCGCAGCCACGTGGGGCACGGTGTCGTGGTGCACGACACGGTGGTGCGAGCCACCGTGGTGTTGCGGGGAACCACTGTGGTGCACAGCGCCGTCGGTGTAGGTGCGATGGTACGGTTAGGATGCAGAGGCCAGGATGCCACCGCGGTGCCCGACTTCATCGTGGGCGTCGATGCATTGCTAGACACCGTTGGGCTGAATGTCGCCGCGATGTGCGTCGCCGTATATGTGAACACCGCGGTGCTGCCTGTCACTACGACATGACACTCGACAGCGCAAGGTTGGCTGTCGACGTGACGTTCGACTCTGCAGTTGAGGGCGCCGTGATGCTGCACGACCGCGGAGGCCAGAGTACCACCGTGGCGCCCGCCACCACAGGGCTGGAAACCGTTGTGGTGTTCGACGTCGTAGGTGTGGACACCGACGTTCTGGTCGGGGGGGGAGAGGAGAGGGTCCGCAGAGCTGGATATTGACGTGGTGCCCGACGTCATCATGGTAACGCTCGGCAGCGCAAAGTTTGGCCCTGCGGAGTTCGGCGTCCGAGTGCTGGGAACCGACCTGGCACTCGGCAGCATAGGTGGATGGGGGAGGGATGGACACGGAGGACCAGGACGAGGAGGAGATGTTGCAATAACCACCCCGTCCAAGTTGACTACGTCCTCACAAGGATTTGTTTTCACTGGAGGAAGCGCCTGGTTGGAAATCAACCGTTTGAAAGTCTTGAACCGTGCCATGCACTGCTGGGACAACGTCGTGAATCAACTTTACTGCTGCATCCCGACGTTCCTGAAAAGTGCCAGAACGCTGTTCCTGGGACTGCAGTGCCGCGAAGCACATGGCTGTTGCACCTTGACAGCCCAACACTGTGTCAACGCACCACTCCTGGGGCGTCAGCCAAAATAATCATTGACATACGTTGTAAACTCTAAAGGCGGATGTTCGCGGCGCTCAGGCGAGAGCTACGTTTTCAAGCCGGGCCGCCCTTGATCCGTGAAACCATGGTACAGTTTTTAAGACGAATGCGCGCGGCACTAAGGCGAGAGCCACAACTTGGAAACGGCCCGCCCTCCATCCGTGAAGCTCTTCAATTCTCTTAACACGAAGTTGCGCGGCGCTTCGGCGAGAGCCTCATTTTGAAAACGACCCGCACTCCGTCCCCTTGCAGACTTTTAGGACGAATGCGCGCGGCGCTTGGGCGAGAGAGCCACATTCTGAAAACCACCCGCCCTCCACCCCTGAAGCTGTTGCAACTCTTAAGCTTCAAGATCGTAAAGGGGCAAGTCTCGGGCGAAACGCCCAGCCAGCCCCACCGACACGTCTTGGGGTGCGACGGAGGAGCTATGTATAGTAGCATGGGATGCGGGGGGAGAGAGGAGTAGGAAGAGTAGGAGGAGCCCCCCCCCTTCCACCTTAGCTGCAGGCGCCGTTACTCTGCGCCCTCTCTGGGCACTGCGGTTCCTGTACTTTGGGCATTTTCTGTGCTGCGCGGGCCTGCCGCCGAATTCACCACAGTGCTAAGTCGGTTTCTGCACCAGCAGAACGCTCCAGGCTAGACGCTTAAATCCGCTCAGCTTTAAAATGGAGGAGGGGGAGGAGGGTGAGGAGGAGGAGGAGGAGGAGGATGAGGAGGAGGAGGAGGAGGAGCAGTAGGAACAGGAGGAGCAGGAGGAGCAGGAGGAGCAGGAGGAGCAGCAGCAGGAGCAGGAGCAGGACCAGAGGTAGGAGAGGGACATGCAGCAAGAGGCAGGAGCTTGAGATTCTGAGGCTGGATGATGTAACACGTTTGTGGTCGGAGGGCTGAGCCAAGAGGGGGGATGTAGGGAGGCTGGTGGAGGTAGGAGGTAGAAATGTGGAGTTGGGAGGCAGGGGCAGGCGGAGGAGGAGCAGGAGGACGAGGCGGAGCACAGTTGATAGACAGCGTTCATTGCACTCCCGTATTCTTCCGGGTTGTGCGTGTGTGAGGCGGATGGTGTGGGGTGTGGGGGGTGAGGCCTCTGTCAGCAGGCCGATCGCCCCTGCCTGCGTTGATTGTGGCGGCCATAGGAGGGCGGGGGCGCTTCTAATCAGCTGAAGCACCTGGAGCAGGAGGGGGCGGGTGGATGAGGATAGGAGGTGGAGGAGGGGACGGGGGAAGGAGGAGGAGGGGGAGGAGGAGGAGGAGGAGGAGGAGGAGGAGCAGGAGGAGGAGAAGGGGGAGGAGGAGGAGCATGAGGAGGAGGAGGAGGAGGAGGAGGAGGAGGAGGAGGGGCCGGGGGACGGACGAGGAGAAGGAGGAGGAGGAAGAGGATGTGAGCTAGGTGGAGGATGAATAGGGGGAGGAGGCCAGTTTTTGGCTATTGGTTGTTTTGTAGTCCTGCTTCTGCCTTTTGGCCTTCACCTTCCTGCGATTGCCCGGAGGCGCCCGCGGAGGCGGACCTGGCGGCGGCGGCACTGTCGACGTGGGCGCCGACGGTCCCGGTGGCAGGGCCGGCTTGGCCCACGCGGCCGCAGCGCCGGAGGCGGCACCGCCCCCTTCGTTTTGCCGTTCGATCGCTGGTTCCCTGAACAGCGAATGCTGGAAGGGTTCTCCATCATGTTGGAAAATGCACCGAGTGAAGCAGCGGGCGATTTGGTGGCCGCGGGTGCGCAAGCAACGGCGCAATGCACGGCGCGGCCATTGAGGCAACGGACGAGCTGGTGGCCCCCGGGGTGTTTGGCGCAACCTACGGCGCGCCCACTGAGGAGACGAACGAGTTGGTGGCACACGTCGCGTCCTATGCCGCAACCTACGGCGCAATCTACGACGCGCTTACTTTGGCAACGCAGGGCGGCTGACGCAACCTGGTGCGCACCCGCTGAAGCAACGGACGAGCTGGTGACTCGCGGGAGGTCTTATGGCGCAACCTACGGAGCAATTTCATGTACGCCCATTGGAACGACGGGCATTGAAGCAAAGTAGGAAATGCGGCGGGTGCTGACTAGCAGCAGCGATACAGTTTCTGCGACCTTCCCTCCGTTGCTGACTTCTCCTGGGCACCAGCTCGTTGATCAGCCAGGCATTGGCAAAGATACCACTACCAGGAGTGGTCGCGGGGAAGCTTGCCTGGGAGAGGCACAGCATACCTGCCTTCAATCTGTCATACCAGCCTCTCCTCACCCTCTTGCTCCAGATTTTCATCCAGCGGTACGGCCGCCAGTTCTACAAACATGGGCACATATACCGTACTCGTGCAGCTACCCGCGAAAGCTCCACTAGCTCCTTCTTCGTCTTCTTCTTCGAGGACTCTTGCTCCTTCGTCGCTTACGTCACCACCGATACCTGGGTATTCTCAGTCTTCCGACCGCATCCGCGGACAAAGTCACGGAGACTATATTTTTCAACATGCGGGTGCCGATTTCGACAGCGAAGTTGACTACATCTCTGGTGGAATGGCCAGAAGGGGCAAATATATATCAACTCTGTGCACGAGGCTGCAGACCATCAGCACGCATTTACAACATCCTCCAAGTTTGATTATCTTCTTTTCTATTGTATCTCGTCGCGCCGTCTAGGAGACAGGCTTCCTTGGGGACGGCTGAGGCGGAGTTGCCGGCCTTGCAGTTTGCGCCGCCGGATAATATGGAACGTCCAGGGTCTCCGAGGGGATTCCGTGGTGAAATGCGAAGAACTGATTAACATGATGTCGCAGCGACAAATGGGCGTCCTGTACATTCGAGAGGCACATCTGAACGGCGCCGAACATTTCACTTAATATGGGTTTTCAGTGCTCCTTTCAGGCGGAATCAACTCGGAGACAACGTCCTGGGCAGGTGTAGATTTCATTGTTTCTCCGCGGATGTGGTCAGCGATTGTTACTGTCAAGGCGGATGGCGATCGTCTTGCGACATTACGCTTGAAGACGCAATGTGGGGTACTCACTGGTCTATGTGTGTATGTCCCGCATAATGCGGCACATTACGACACGAGGCAGTCGTTTTACCACCAACTCGAGGATCTCATCCGTCCAGCCACTGAGCACTCTGCGGTGTATGTTCTTGGGGACTTCGGCGCCAGACTCCGCCAAGCTAGAGCTGGAGAGGATGACATTATTGGCCCGCACGTGCTCGAGACAAAGGACGACCGCAACAATGCATCATCGAACTGGCAACTCATTTTCAGATCTTGCGTCACGTGCGACCTCGTGATCGCCAACACATGTTTCAACAACCCGGTCGAACGCCGTATGTGATTCAAAGCTCGCACTAGTTGATCAGGTAATGCGCCACCTCATCATTATTTACAATCATGGAATATTGGACATACTGGGAACATCCAGTCAACACCCTGCATGTTCTCACAGTGGTGGGCACTTCCATACAGTTCTAAGCGGGTGGGGTACAGCAGAAAACACATTACGACAACAGCTCTCTGAAGGATAGTGGTGCCAAATGTGCGTTCCCGAGCGCCTTCGCGGACGTTCCCCGCACAGGCTATTAAACGTGTACGTTTGATGAGTCAGCAGCTGACGTTGCACAAGTGTTTTCAGCAAGCAGCGTGCACCCTGCCAGAACAAATATTGCCACAACCTTCTTGGACACGTCAGTGTGCACTCGATTTTTTTGAACGGCGCAAGGCGCGTCAAGCTGGGGTCTTGACCCCCCCCCCAAATTGATTAAGATGGTCAGCGAAGCAGGACATGAACATTTCAAACCATGGTTGGCATGACTTGCGGCTGGAGGTGGATGGGAATCATGTCGATGCTTACGTAATTCATGCTGCTACCAACGAGCAAGATGGCACGCTCCCAGACACTGCAGAGCGGGCACGCACTATGGCATACTACTTCGAAACAGTACAGTGGCAATTGCAACATCCAGAACTACAGCCAGAATCTGAAGCTTCAATTACCGATTTTGTATCTGTCTGCACACGTAATTATACGATAGGTGAGCTTAGCAATGTATCACAGGAACTGAAGCTTGGTCAGGCAACCGGCCTCGACGATAATCCATCACTTTTTTGGCAGACGCTCATGTATGATGGCAGCGCGTTTGTCGTTTTTAAGGACTTGGCCAGCGAGGCAGGGCCAGGAACGCGATTCCAGAATCTTTGAGAAGAGCAAGCGTAGCCTTCCTTTCAAAAACGGGGGGGCACTGGCATTCCAGAAAACTATCGCCCGTTTGCTTTCCTTTCAATTGGATGCAGAATCTTGGTGGCGCTCATGCACCAGAGGTTGCTTCAAGGGGGATCAGAAGAACGCATGCGCAACTTACCTTGGTGTTCGGCCTGGTCGTGGCACCGCAGACGCCCTTATTCTTGTGAGGTGCATGATAGATGCCGCCCGCGTCAACAATGATGGTGCTATTATGGTATGAGTTCTGGATTGGGCGAACGCCTTCAGTCGAATAAAACCAGAAACCACGTGCGAAGCTTTGCAAACAATTGGGCTAGCTACCGACATAGTGGACGTGGTATGCGCATGTGTTCTACATTTATACAGCTCGTTTCTTCACCAGCCTGGACCGCATTGGGAGCTCTACGGGGAAGGGACAAGCGGCTGGAATCGCGCAGGGGTGTCCATTGTCGCCGTATGAAAGTATTTCCGTGCAGGCTGTCATGGTGCACGGCGCGATCGATTCATTACCCCTGCAGAAAAAGTTAGGGGTAAGTAGTCTCCAGGCGTAGTGTAGCTCCTACGCAAGCGACACTATTCGTATCACGGTACCAACCAACTCTTCAGAATCTGCTAGGCGCTATCCTGGAAGAAGGGCGCACGTATGGCTTAGAGCCCAACGGGGGCAACATTGTCCACATGCAGATTTCCACAGACACAGCAGTAACAACACCACATGGGCATCATATATAGAGAATGCGAGGCGCAGTACAGTCGACCCGCAGAGTAAAGATTAGAAACCTTCCTGAGGTTACCATTGCATCCTTCGTCTTCGGTCCATCCTTGGCCGCTTTCGCTGTCCGCGCCCCGCCCGCAAAGTGCTTGCTTCCTTATCATGCGTCCTTACTGCATGGGTTAGCGGTATAATAAGAAGAGATTTTTCCGTGCGATAGGGAAATTTCACTTGAAGTTTCAAGAGGATTTGGAAAAACGGTCAGCACGTTCAAGCAGCTCAATCAATTTTGGCCACGGTCGTCTTTTGGATTTAACAGAAAATGCGCGATCTATAACAGTGTGGTGCTGAGCAAGCTGTCGAATTCCTTGGGCGCTTTACGGCTGCTCGAAGCAGGTCGTGCTCGTCTGGGCACTTTCCATTGCAAGAGCCCGACTCGTGAGAACGCGAGCGTTTTTCATAATGCATCAACGAAACCGTTGTCGTAGATGTTTTTGTTGCAGCCCATTTATAGTGTTAAAGTAAGATCTGCTTTGAGTCGCGCCACTTCTTTTGCACATCGTTTTTTTTTCAACGCAAGCGGGCTTCTTAGAGATTGGTCTGTGTGCCGCAGGAGGGGCTGTCCCGCCAACAGTGAGCGTCGTCAATGCACGCGATTTTCTAGCATTTGTAGCTTGCATTCGCAGCGCTCCTTTCTCCCCCTTCCTCTTCCTTCCTGCTCCCTCTTCCCAGTGCTCCGGATTCGTGGGGTTTTCATTTTCTGCTTCACACCCGGGCTTTTTCTTTATTGATTTACAATCGTGTGGCGCCATGTTTTTCTCTGTCACACACTCGCGATGTTATTAGCGTCTGCTTCACAGTCGAGTCCCCGCGCCGTATTTCTCCCAGTGTGGTCGGGGGAACTGCCCATTTCGCATTCGCCAATTGCGCAGTGTTCTGCCCATGGGTCCTGCTGGACGCTCGGCTTATCTTGCTGCTGAAGCAACGTGCGGCATCGGGCGATTTAGTGGCTTGCGGTGCGTCTGACGCAGCCCATGGAGCAACATATGGGATTTCTAATTTGGCAGCGGGCGACTTGGTTGCTTTCGGACTGTCAGGCGCGATCCACGGCGCAGCTTTTGGCACAATCTTTGGTGTGCTCAGTGAGACAATTGTCGATTTGGTGGCCCGCGGGATATCTGGCGCAACCGTTGCAACACGGACTGAGGCAACGGACGACTTATTTGGCTACCCGCGGGGTGTCGCTTGATGGTGCGTACCCTGCGGCACGAGCAATGTGGCAGCCCGCGGGCAACATACTGCGTAATCCATGAGCCACCTATTGAGGCAACGGACGACTTGGTTGCCCGCGGAGTCTGGCTCAACCTATGGAGCAACCTTTGGCACACGCTGTTTATGGTCTTTTGGCAGGGACGGTGCTGCCTCTTTGCTCTGCTCTCCCTCTGCCTCCCTGCTGCACTTTTGACTGGGCCTGCAGATCGGAGGGCCCTAGCGCAGCCCCAAGAAGGTCGAGGGCGCGGGTGGGAACGCGCCATCACGGGCTGTCCAGCTTGTGGAAACGATCCTCCTCTTTATCCTGGACCTTCGGCTTTGTTGTTTCACGCGTTCATGCTGTCAGTTGTTGTTCATACGTGGTTTACCCGTGCCTTTTCGTCCGTCTCTTATCCCTCCCTCATCCCTCCCTCATCCACCC